ATGGAAAATTGCTGTTTCCACTGGGTTATTCCACTTTAGATCAACCGTATACAACCCCACAGTGATACCGTATCAATATAAAGTCATTCTGATGGTGCTTTCCAAAATAAAGGCCTTTTTAAATTGTCCACAATTGACCTACCTTTAACAATTTCAAATGTCATATATGGGCAAATTAAAAAGGCCTTTATTTTGGAAAGCACCATCAGAATGAGTTGATATTGATATGGTATAACTGTGGGGTTGTATACTGTTGATCTAAAGTGGAATGACCCAGTGGAAACAGCAAATTTCCATTTAAGAGCATATTGAATTCACTGAAAGATTGGTCGTATATGGGCAATTAAAAAAAATTAAAAATTAAATTAAAAATTTAAAAGCCTATTCTTAAAAGTAGACAAAGTGTCTGCCTCACGGACTAAAGCTGGGAACTGGTTCCACAGGAGAGGAGCCAGATAACTAAAAGATTTGCCTCCCATCCTAAGTTTAGGTATTCTTGGAACCACCAGTAGACCTTCAGTCTGAGAGCGAAGTGCTTGGTTAGGAACATATGGAACAATAAGATTACTGATGTATGATGGACCTTGATTATTAAGAGCTTTATATGTGAGAAGAAGGATCTTAAAATCTATTCTGAATTTAACAGGTAGCCAATGTAGGGAAGCTAAGACAGGAGAGATATGATCTCTCTTTTTAATTCTCATCAGAACTCTAGCTGCAGCATTTTGGACAAGCTGAAGACCATCACTGATGGTGCTTTCCAAAATAAAGGCCTTTTTAAATATTCCATAAACAACATTTGAAATCGTTAAAGGTAGGTCAACTGTGGACCATTTAAAAAGGCATTTATTTTGGAAAGCACCATCAGAATGACTTGATATTGATATGGTATCACTGTGGGGTTTTATACTGTTTATCTAAAGTGGAATGACCCAGTGGAAACAGCAATTTTCCACTTTAGAGCATTTTGAAATCACTGAAAGTTTGGTCGTAAATGGGCAATTTAAAAAGGCTTTTTTTTTGGAAAGCACCATCAGAATGACTTGATATTGATATGGTATCACTGTGGGGTTGTATACTGTTGATCTAAAGTGGAATGACCCAGTGGAAACAGCAATGTTCCATTGGACTAACCCTAACCCAGACTTCATTCAAAGTTTAACAAACTCACAAGACTTTCCTGTTTAACATATTAAAGAGACTTTTTGATATATTTTACGGTTTTTCTAAAATCGCAGGTAGAAGTTGAGGTACGACTTGAAATTTTCAGAAAAATTCACAAAAGTTACAATGGGGAAAGATAGGAGCAGTGACCCTCCCTTGCTCCATTTCTTGCATTGTACCGAGAGAACCGTAGGTCCGATTGAAATGAGACACACGCTGGCTTACAGCTAACAAATATACCTTCGTTTTGAGCTATAATTCATGACTGTACTCCAAACATTGTGGTCGTACGGTTCATTTGTTTGAGAAAATTCAAATTTAAAAAAAGGTCTTTATCCACTCTAACTTGAAAATTCCGCCCTCTAAGTTTTGAACTTTACATCTTCTGTGAACAACTCTTTACTACCCCCAGACCGTTTGTACTACGAAACAAATTATATCTCAAAAGGTAGGAATTTTTATCAGCTTTTCAGAATGAGTTTCATTTTATCTGTAACTGTTACCATTCATTCGTTACAAGCCTCAGAAGGAGGAGAGACCCAGATTCTGCTTCATTGAAACCCATGTTAAAGGAACAGAGATTTTCTGCTTGATTGGCTTCAGACAGCTAAAAGTTTCTCATCATAGCTTCTAGACAATTCATGGTAGGCACATAAAAATCGGCACAGATGATCATCAAAGCCTTCTGCCACTCACGCTTTTCGAATTTTTCAAATCGGTGCAGTACTTTTCGAATGGTGATGAGAAGTTTGACAGGTCCAATGTCACTTCTGAAGGACAGATTTAAAGGCTTCGCTCATTAACAGGAGTACAGCTTCAGGTCTAAAAATAGCCGGGGGGGGGGGGGGGGGGGGGGGGGGGGGGGGGAATTAGTGCTGCTCTTTGATTGGTTGAGAGTGTTAAACCATTTTCTGTCCAATCAGGATCCAGCACCCACACAAATGACACATCAAATCGACCAGTTTGGTCTCATGAATCTTGTATTCAATTTTAAATGCGCTATCTGTTACCATGGCAATACAAGGAACTACAAATCCCTTTAAACAAGTCTCATAGGAATGAATACAAAAAGCAGAATATTGAGCCACTAACAGACTCCTGTTTTTGATCTTTTTGAACAGTTTGTACTTAAAACTAGAAATAAGTTCAATTTGATTGACCGTCAGAAGGTGGGAAAGTGCCCCGCTCCCTCCCAGCTCCCTGATTGGTTGAGTGAGGTCAATCATCTTCTGGCTAAATGGAATTACACACCCACGCATGTGAGATATCAAATTGATCGGCTTGGCCTAAGGAATCCATCCATCTACATATAAATACATACATGCTTCTATCTATCCATCCATCCATCCATCCATCCATCCAATAAACCATCTAACATCCATCCAACAATCCACCCGTTATTTCATTCATCCAACCATTCATCCATCCCATATCAAATCTAAACATATGTTAATCTATCAGTTTCAGATGTCAGCCAATATTTCTAAATTCACAGTTCAGCCAATTGTAAAAATGTACCCGTTAAACTATTCTCATTCAAATGCCAGCTGTTTAACATTTCAAATTTTGAGTTTTTAATAAATGTTCAAAGATAAAAGTTTTCAGCTGTTTAGCATTTTTTATCCATTCTTCTCTTATATTCTGAGCTTTATTACACTTGTTGGTGATTTTTGTTTCTAAATCTATAAATACATGGGGAAAGATAGGAGCAATGACCCTCCCTTGCTCCATTTCCGGCGTTGTCCCGAGAGAACCGTAGGGCCGACTGAAATGAGACACACGCTGGCTTGCAGCTAACGAATATACCTTCGTTTTGAGCTATAAGTCATGACTGTACTCCAAACATTGTGGCCGTACGTTTCATTTGTTTGAGAAAATTCAAATTTAAAAAAATGTCTCTTCTCACTCTAACTTAAGAATTCCGCACTGTAACTTTTGAACTTCACATCTTCTGTGAACAGCTCTTTACTACCCCCAGACCGTTTGGACTACCGAAACAAGTTATAACTCAAAAAGTAGGATTTTTTGTCAGCTTTTCAGAATGGGTTTCAATTTATCTGTAAGTCTTACTATTCTTTCGCTACAAGCCTCAGAAGGAGGAGAGGCCCAGATTCTCACTCATTGAAACCCATGTTAAAGGAACAGAGATTTTCTCCTCAAAACGGCTTCAGACAGCTAAACGTTTCTCGTCATAGCTTCTAGACAATTCATGGTAGGCACATAAAAATCGGCACAGATGATCATCAAAGTCTTCTACCACTCACGCTTTTTGAATTTTTCAAATCGGTGCAGTACTTTTTAAATGGTGATGAGAAGTTTGACAGGTCCAATTCCTTTTCTGAAGGACAGATTTCAAGGGTTCTCTCGTTAACAGGAGCATAGGCGGAGATCCCAGGGGGGACGGGGGGGAAGCGTCCCCCCCCTCACAAAAAGTTGCCCCCCCCCCACAAAAGTTAATGTAAATGTATAAATGCTATCAGTAAACCTGTATTGTCTTCTAAAACCACAACGTAAAAGTTAGTCTGCAAATACAAAACAATGTGTTTTTAATTGTTGAGAAATTATAGCCCCCCCCCCAATTCCTCAAGTTGGTACGGTCGGTCCACACGCGCTGTTTCCAATGGGCGGGGCTGCCGGCTTTGCCTCGCTCACAGCTTCACAGCAGCCCGCAGGCTCACAGGAAGCGGGAATCAAAAAGCCAGCGGTTTCCAGCAGTAAGTCAATTATCTCACGCTTGTTCTACAAACTGAAATATGTATGTCAAATGTGGTCATAAATGATGCAGGACGATGAGAGACACAGGACAGGAAAATAGTTCAATAAAAACAAGAAAACAAAACAAAGTTTTGAAAAGTAAAATGTAGGTAGATTTATGTCCACTACACACATGTAATATTTGTACATTTGATACAATTCAGATCACCTTCAAAACTCAGTCACACACCCAGGGCCGCCCCCCCCCCCCCACACACACACACACACACTCACACACACAAAATAACATACAAGAGAATTAAAGAGAATTTAAGGTGAAGCGCTTGCACATACTGTGTTATTGTGTGGTTTGTTCTGTGTGTAGAAACACGTTCAATTTGATTGACCGTCAGAAGGTGGGAAAGTGCCCCGCTCCCACCCAGCCCCCTGATTGGTTGAGAGAGGTCAATCATCTTCTGGCTAATTGGAATTACACACCCACACATGTGAGACATCAAATCGATCGGCTAGGCCTAAGGAATCCATCCATCCATCCAACCAACCAACACACCAAACAACCATCCATCCATCCATCCATCCAACCAACCAACACACCAACCAACCAACCAACCAGCTCTATAGAGCTCCGGACCCCACGTGACTCTCAGTTAGTGGACGCCATTTTGGCATGCAAAAAAGGTAAACAAACACGGATGTAACCATGAACATGAACGGGATCCGCTTGGATTTTACTTCGTCGGAGTTTACTTCACACTTTAAAACAGAAGAAATCATTTTATATAGTCAGAAATTAAATAGACTAAACATCTCCGACCCTTACCGTGCCCCTGGGATACTTTTTAAAAACGCCAGAAGCTGTCGGAGCGGACTTCTTACCGGCACAACACCGGACCTGACCGGGGAACCCCTTGGGATTTACCCGGAGGAGCTGGCTCCGGCGGCTGGGGAGAGGGAAGTCACGCTACTGCCCCCGCAACCCGACTCCGGATACGCGGATGAAAATGGATGGATGGACGGACAAATAACAGATTTACACGTAAGTAGTCTCGGTGAGACAGATAATAGCAATCCAAAGTGCTTTTTATGTGTGATCTGACAATTGATCAACCATTGCTTAAAAATTAAATACAGCTTTAGAGCTGAAACAACTAATCGATTTAATCGATTATAATCGATTATTAAAATAGTTAACAACTTTTTTAGTCATCGATTAGTTGTTTAATAATCATATTTTACCGCATAAAGTCTATTTTTACCACAATCTGACATCGGTTACAAGCTGTTAAATTTGCCGCCAGTGTGTGGCAGTAATGAGCCACTGATCTACCAGTGGAGCCGTAGAAGAAGAAATGAGCCAATGAGTGCCCTCGGTTTTCATGACGTATCACGTTACTGACGCTCATCTTGCTGTGAGAGATGGCGGAACAAGAGGAAATACGGAAGAAAATAGAAGCGACAAAACTTTAGAGAAACCCCGGACAAAAACCTCACGAGTATGGGAGCACTTCAGTCTAGATGCCTTGAAAAGGCAAAATATGCAAAAACCATCTAGCATGGCACGGAAGCACGACGTCCCTAAGTGAACATTTGAGACGAAAACGTGGGGGCTGAGGAAGAGCACCGCGGTCAAGTGAGCCGTCATTTGGAAGAGCCAGCCCGGTAAGTAACAGAAAATAAACAAGCTGGACTTAGTGTTTTAGCTGAGTTCGTTATAGTGGATGTTAAACATGTTTTTTTGTCGCGTCAGTCTACGGTGTTCTACTTCTGATTGACTAGATGCAATCGTGAATCTCCTCCGTGTTGTGAATCATGCGCTTGCCAAATTTAGCACGTCTGTTTATAAGAATGTTCTAGTTAAGAGAAAAACGGCACAAACCCATAACTATGTTCCTCATTCAAAAAAGGACAACTCTGCGGTGAAAAATATACAGACGAGCTGTGTCCAGGTGAATATAACGCGGCATAGTTGTACGCTTTCAATTTTTAAATACAGGAGAAATTCAGAAAAAGTCATTTTTTTACTATTAAAAGGCTGTTTTACTGTCTAACGCTGTAAAACGCCTCACAACACATTTTTATCATGTTTCTTAAACAGTATTACACAAAATAAACATTTTTCACATTTTTCTAGCTAATTTAAACACTCCCGACTCAAAGTAAAAACCTCATGAGCTTCTTACTCTGAGCTTTTTAATAGTAAAAAAATTAGACTTTTTTTCTTAATATCTCCTGTTGCGGGCTATTTTGTAGAACGTAACCCTCAAAATAAATGATCACTGTATATTGTTAATTAATTCAAATAATTTAACATTGATTTAGTGTTGTAGTGTGTGTGCTGCTTTATTTTATATGTGTACTTATTTCAGTCTATTTGTGTTTCTTATGCAGAAAAAAACAAGCAACGATGGACAACTACATGGGGAACAAGACACTCACCCCCCAGCAATTCATACCACTTACAAACTCTATTCTAAACATGCTGGTAAAAGACATGAGGCCACTATCCATGGTGGAAGGAGCAGGCTTCCAGCTAATGCTAAAAAATTATTCTGGACTGATATTTTGCACTGTTTAGCTCATTTTCTACTGCTGACTGTGTTCATGTGCAATAAAATAGATTGCAGTCAACTGCACAATTCTCTTATGTTTTTTTTTTCTTAACTGAAATGCATCCATCACTTGTATAGGTTAAATAGCTAAACAGTAACAAACCGATTAATCGATTAATCGAAAAAATAATCGACAGATTAATCGATTATGAAAATAATCGTTAGTTGCAGCCCTATACAGCTTAGCCGGTTAATTGCTGTGATCATATAACACGGAAACGGCAGCACGCAGAACTCACGAGGCAACGTTTTACGTGATGTTTACTTGCTGCTGTGAGTAATAAGACAGAAAAAGCCATGCCAAAATAAGTTTAGGAAGCCCACTAAGAATCATAATAAAAGCATTTAAAATAAATACCATACACAGTTGAGGAAACGTTGGTTTAAGTACCTGATATGAAGCGGTCGCTGCATAAGCGAAAACCTTTACTCTCTGGATCCCACAGTTTCATTTTCGCCCGGTCACTAACGCCTTTTATTACAATGATCCAATGTTTGCGGCGCTCCGGATCTTGGGGAATCCTGTAAATGGCTCATTCCTTATGTCGTCCGCGTCTGTTCTGCATCCTGGGGCACAACAGGAATCTACCATATTTCCCATTTGATTGAATTTTCTGACAATAACAAATAGTCCAGCTGCCGGCTTCTGCATGCCAATATGGCGCCGTTTCGATTTGAACTGTTGCATGCCGGAAGAAGTGACGTCAGCTCCCGGAGCTCTATACACTTAAAACTCTATACACTTACAACTAGCAGCATTGCTGACATTTTAACACTAGTCAGAAGGCAGGAACCGCCCCCTCCTCCTTCATTGCTCTCTCATTGGCTGAGGGTTTTCAATCGTCTTCTGCCTAAAAGGAAATGTGCACCCACACGTATGGTACATCAATTCAACATGCTTGGTCCCAGGAGTCTTGTATTAAATTGATATTGTGCTCTGTGTTTCCATGGCAACGTGCTTAGCAACAACATTTAACAACATTTTAGACACAACTGTATCAACATACTTTAATATAGAAATGTTATTCAAAGTTTAAATGACTCATGTGTTATTGTACATAGCTTTATTAATGCAGACTTCTGTCATCTGTTACCATGGCAACACAAGGAACTACAAATCACTTTAACCAAGTCTCATAGGAATGAATATAAAAAGAAGAATATTGAGCCATTAACAGACTCCTGTTTTTGAATTGTTTGTACTTAAAATTAGAAATAAGTTCAATTTCATTGACCGTCAGAAGGTGGGAAAGTGCCCCGCTCCCTCCCAGCTCCCTTATTGGTTGAGAGAGGTCAATCATCTTCTGGCTAGATGGAATTACAACCCACGCATGTGAGACATCAAATTGATCGGCTTGGCCTAAGGAATCCATCCATCTACATATAAATCCATACATGCTTCTATCTATCCATCCATCCAATAAACCATCTAACATCCATCCAAAAATCCATCCGTTATTTCATTCATCCAACTCTTCATCCATCCCATATCAAATCTGAACATATGTTCATCTATCAGTTTCACATATCAGCAAATATTTCTAAATTCACAGTCCAGCCAATTGTAAAAATGTACCCGTTAAACTATTCTCATACAAATGCCAGCTGTTTAACGTTTCAAATTTTGAGTTTTTGATAAATGTTCAAAGATTACATTTGTCTGCTGTTTAGCATTTTGATCCATTCTTTGCCTATATTCTGAGCTACATTACGCTTGTTGGTGATTTTTGCTTCTACATCTTTAAATACATTCAGCTCATTTTGACAGTTCTGCTTTGTTTCAGCTTCAGCTCAGCTGTTCGGCGGCTTCAGCTTACAGTTTCAGCTGTCCAGCATTCAAACAGCATTTGTGCAACAAATGCAATTTTTCTAGTTTGTTCTGTGTTTTGACAGGTCAGGTCACCGGTGAAGCCACACCCCCGGGCTGAACCAGCAGGCCTCCCCCAACCAGAAGTAAATCACCTTAAAACATGTGAATAGTTACATAGAAGTGTGTAGAGAACATCACATGTAATTTGAGGCTCAGTGTTTCAAAGAGAAAGTCATACACCTTAGGTAAAGTATTTACATAATCTCATCCAGAGTTATTTTGATAGGTTCAGTCTTACCAGTAGAATATTTCAGACTTTGTTAGTCACATAGAACCCCTTTTAGTCTTTATTTTTTGTGTTACAAGAAGGGAAAATCCACCCAAAGGCTGGAGCTGAAGCTCCATTTCTGTGAAGAAAGAGTCAAAAAGGGGGAATCATCTTGGCTGAGGATAAGTAGGTGAGAGGAAAACAACCCAGAACGAACATAGAAATAAACCAAATCAGTTCTCACAAATCGGCCAGATGGTCTGTCAAACTGGATTCATTTGTGGTCTTCTTGCCCCCTCTTGTGGCCAGACTGGGCGTTACATCTGGTTACTTTCCTCAGGACAGTCACCAACATTGCTGTTGTTTAAATGCCTTTGAACTCCAAAAAAGGTAACAAAATGAGCTGATTTTAGTTTGTGTATTATTAAAAATCCATGTAGAAACATTTAAGAGTAGTTTTTTAAAGAATTCGACCCTCAGAGTTAGGATTCTGTGAGGCAGGGGTTCAAAGTGATTTGGGTGTCAAAGGTCTTATGTTTAAGGTTAAATTGTGGGTTGGAGGGTTAGATTCCCTGGTTAGGGTTAGGGGTTATGTTTCCTGGTTAGGGTTAGAATAAAGGTATGGGTCAGGGATTAAAAACCTGATTAGGAATATAGTCACCTGGTTAGGGTTAGGATTTTGGGGTGGGAAAGGTGATCCACTAATAAATTGCAGGAAGTTCTAGGAGTATCCTGTGAGAGGATGAGCCAGAGCAGACTAACTGCAAGGGGCCACTGGCAGGTTAGGGTTGGGTTGGGGTTAGGGGGGTCCTGCTGCCATAACCCTAACCCTAACCCTCCCGTGCACAGACACCCTGCGTGTAGTCTGCAGGTTAGCCCACTATCTCTCATTAAGGCCTCCAGGGATATGTGTTTGTAATCTCTTTATCCATATCTTTTCAGCTCTTTTCCTCTGAGGGACTGACCATCTCGGGTTGGATTCAAGGACCGAGGCCGTCAGTGCATCCCAACCATGTTGAATAAAATGTTTGACCAAGGGGACGTGTGTCTCTTTCGTGTTGGTGATGTTATAGCGATGTTGTGTGAAGCGGGTTAGAAGTGTGTTTGCTGTTTCTCCCACATATCTAGTTTTGCAGGTTTTGCATGTAATTAGATAGACAGTTCTTGGATTTGGGTCCCGCTGTCGATGTGGTGAGGTACACTGCTTTGTTGGACTGGTTTTGAACCCAGCATACTTGTTTAAAAAATTCTCCGTGACCTTTGACCTTATGCTCCTTTAGGGGTTTAATTTGGGCTTTAACTAGGCGATCCTTCAAATTTGGGTTTCGTTTATAGGCCGCAATTATTCTGTAGTCTGATAACAATAGTGATTCAGATTGGAATTTGGTGAAATTGTTTTTCACATTGTAAATGAGCCGTCCAACTGATTCGGAGTAGGTCATTATGATTGGGAGCATAGGTGATGTATTGGGGGGTCTGGACTCTACAAAGGATGCTCTGCATGCACGTAAGAATGACCTCGAGTAACCCCTGTTTTGCAGGGCCAAGAATAATGTTTTGGTGGCCTGTTCGAAATCCTCCCGTTGAGTACAGATTCTGTGGAATCTGAGTAGCTGTGATTTGACTAGCCCCGCGTATGTGTGTTTAGGGTTGTGGCTGGACTTGAAGTGCGTGTGTGTCTGTTGGCTTGAAGAACACTTTGGTGTCCAACTTGTGGGTGGTTATAAATTGTTGGCCCTTGAATGTAGTGGTATCCAGGAAATCCACTGACTCAGTGTTGGTTGTGGCTTTAAGCGTGATGGACGGATTGTGGGTGTTAAGGGTTAGGAGAAATTGTGTAAAATCTTCTTCAGAGTGAGCCCAGACCCCCCAGATGTCATCCAGGTACCTGTAATAGTGTAGTGGTTTTTTGGAGCATTTATTGACGGCCTCTGTCTCCCACTGAGCCATGAAGACGTTTGCGTAGGCTGGGGCAAATTTCTTACCCATGGCTGTACCTTTGATTTAGAGGAAATACTAGCTGTTAAATTCAAAATCATTACGTCTCAAGTTGATATCCAGTAGTTGAAGTAGTTCTTTGTCAGGACGTTTGCTGTTTGGGTATTTCATCAGGATGTTCTTTACGACTGTGATGCCTTCTGTGATGTTAATATTGGTGTAGAGACTGTCTACATCCATTGTAAATAAGATTGATTGATCGGGTAGGATTGTGGATTAAATTTTTTCTATAAAGTCATACTGTAACTGCTGTTGCTGTTTATTTCTTCATTTATTTATTTTCTCATTTGTAAGACACTGGGTTGGTTGTGTTTCCTGTAATATTATTTTGAAAGCTACATGAGCTGCTCTGCCAGCCACACCCTTAATTTGATGAATACAAGCCAGGTGTGAGGAACACACACAGCCTGGATGAAGTGCTGGCAAGCAGACAGCTAATGGACTGAAAACATTCAATTTTTTGCTAAAGAACTATCTAGTGAAAGGACTTAAAGAAGGACAGATGGATTCCCTTTGCGTTTTAAGCAAAACAGCCAGCGAGGTATTTATTTGTCTTTATTTTGTTGCACATTATTGTATATGTTTTAATTGTACTATCCTGTATTTAGTTTCACGGTTTAAGGGAGGTCTAAGGAAAGGAGGACAGAAGAGGTCCACAAAGAAAGGACGGCCAATAAACCCGTAAAGAAATCACTTGCGTCTGTGTTGCTTGGAGGGAATCACACATACGTACCCTTAATGTAACTGCTGTGTAAAATTGACAACGGGCTGAGATAATGCTAAATGAATTCAGCCGAGTGGTCGGTTTCACTGCCACAATCCGAGACTATCGGCCGTCCTGGGGGAATCTCGTATGGTTTGCTCCAGTTTTGAGATTCCTTGTGAATTTTAGGCAACAGATAGAACCTGCGGGCTCTCGGTTTGGTGGATCCTAATAAATAATTTCTTTGT